AGGGCATGGGCAGACCTGCCTGTCTGCAGCGGGCTGATTCGACGTGTTCTGTGTGATGCAGGACCTCGGGAGGGCATGGGCAGACCTGCCTGTCTGCAGCGGGCTGATTTGACGTGTTCTGTGTGATGCAGGACCACAGGAGGGCATGGCCAGACTTCATTTATGACCATTTTCACATGGTGAAGAATCATCCTCCAGTTACATATCTGATTAAGATTGTGCCTCTGTAGTTTACTAAATCTAGTAAAGAAACAGCACAGGCTTCTCTCTTTTCAGCTGCATTTTTGCAAGATGTAGTAGTTGACCTTTTTGAAAGATTCCATTCAAAAAGTTCCATTGGATACGACAACCTCAATGAGTTCATATATGGGTATCTTTGGAGATCTGGATGTTGAAACATTGAAAAGAGAGAAAACCATGCTGAGAAAATGATAAATGGCAAATAAAGGTGGAGGAAGATAAATCTGGAGAATGCTGAGTTGTAATAATTCCACATATTGGAAGAAAAGCAATCAAAGTAGATCCACATATTGTTTCCCAGCACTTAGCAGTCATCTCTGTGAAGACTCAGCCACTAGAGAAAATGAAGACGAAATGTGTTGTGTGCCACTTAGGACCTCGGTAGGGCATGGGCAGACTTGCCTATCTGCAGTGGGGTGATTTGGCATGTTCTGCGTGACTCAGGACCTCGGCACGGCATGGGCACACCTGCCTGTGTACAGTGGGGTGATGTGGTGTCTTCTGTGAGACTCTGGACCTCGGTAGGGCATGGGCAGACTTCATTTACGACCATTTTTACATGGTCAAGAATCATCCTCCAGTTACATATCTGATTACTAGATTTAGTAAACTACAGAGGTACAATCATAAGGAAACAGCACAGGCTTCTCTCTTTTCAGCTGCATTTTTGGAAGATATAGTAGTTGACCTTTTTGAAAAATTCCATTCAAAATGTTCCATTGGATACGATGACCTCAATGAGTTCATATATGGGTATCTTTGGAGATCTGGATGTTGAAACATCGAAAAGACAGAAAAGCATGCTGAGAAAATCGTAAATGACAAAAGTAAGTTGGAGGAAGATAAATCTGGAGAATGCTCAGTTGTAATAATTCCACATATTGGAAGAAAAGCAATCAAAGTAGATCCACATATTATTTCCCAGCACTTAGTAGTCATCTCTGTGAAGATTCAGCCACTAGAGAAAGTGAAGACGAAATGTGTTGTGTGCCACTTAGGACGTCGGTAGGGCACGGGCAGACTTGCCTGTCTGCAGTGGGGTGATTTGGCTTGTTCTGCGTGACTCAGGACCTCGGCAGGGCATGGGCAGACCTGCCTGTGTGCAGTGGGCTGATTCGGCCTGTTCTGTGCAACTCAGGTCCTCAGGAGGGCATGGGCAGACCTGCCTGTCTACAGCGGGGTGATGTGGTGTCTTCTGGGAGACTCCAGACCTCGGTAGGGCATGGGCAGACCTGCCTGTCTGCAGCGGGCTGATTTGGCATGTTCTGTGTGACTCAGGACCTCAGGAGAGCATGGGCAGGCCTGCCTGTCTACAGCGGGCTGATTCGGCGAGTTCTGTGCAACTCAGGACCTCAGGAGGGCATGGGCACACCTGTCTGTGTGCAGTGGGCTGATTCGGCCTCTTCTGTGCAACTCAGGTCCTCGGGAGGGCATGGGCAGACCTGCCTGTCTACAGTGGGGTGATGTGGTGTCTTCTGCGAGACTCCGGACCTCGGTAGGGCATGGGCAGACTTGCCTGTCTGCAGCGGGCTGATTCGGCTTTTTCTGTGTGACTCAGGACCTCGGGAGAGCATGGGCAGGCCTGTCTGTCTACAGCGGGCTGATTTGGCGAGTTCTGTGCGACTCAGGTCCTCGGGAGGGCATGGGCAGACCTGCCTGTCTGCAGCGGGCTCATTCAGCATGTTCTGTGCGACTCAGGACCTCGGGAGAGCATGGGCAGGCCTGTCTGTCTACAGCGGGCTGATTCGGCGAGTTCTGTGCGACTCAGGACCTCAGGAGGGCATGGGCAGACCTGCCTGTCTGCAGCGGGGTGATGTGGTGTCTTCTTTGAGACCCCGGACCTCGGTAGGGCATGGGCAGACCTGCCTGTCTACAGCGGGCTGATTCTGCGTGTTCTGTGCAACTCAGGACCTCGGGAGAGCATGGGCAGACCTCCCCGTCTGCAGCAGGGTGATTTGGCATCTTCTGCGTGACTCAGGACCTCGGTATGGCGTGCACAGACCTGTCTGTCTGCAGCCGGCTGATTCGACGTGTTTTCTGCAACTCAGGACCTCGGTAGGGCATGGGCAGACCAAATTCAGACAACGGTTTCTCCACTCAGAATATGTTTAGCTGCAGAAAATATTGTCAATTCTGTGCTGTCAAGCTATGGTTTTCCAAATCAACCATACACTAATAAAAGCATGGAAGCAATGAAGCCGTCTTTTATGTCAAAGACAAACTCTTTATCTGAAATATCTACAGGACAAATAAAAATAGTTTACTTAGCAAATGGGCTAAAAGAATCAGGTGTGGGCCTGAAGAAAATGAAATCACTGAAGCTTGTGGGGGAGATTTTTCTTTGTTCCAAAAATGGCAAAACAAGACTCCAAATATTAAGACAATAGAGACTTGCAAAGAAGTTGAAGTCACTGTGTTTGCTGATCGTGAACTGGGTTCCAAGTGAAATTCATCTGGTAGCAGTGCATTTTTCCACATCTGTGATCACATATTTGAAGAACTTCAAAACTAGAGGTAAGCAAGAGATAACCATTAAGGTGTGTTATGTACTTTTACTGACGTCCCATGATAGATGTAGTAATTATGTACTGCAAATGTACCAATAAAAATTTTAAAATTAAAAAGTTGATGTGATTCAGAGAAAATACTAAAAGACATGTTTAAAAGATCTCCTGTCCAAGAATATGCATTTTCAGGTGCTTTTCTTTTCTTTTTTTTTTAAATGAAAATAGCCTTGAAAGTGAGATGACTATTTAACAGCTTTCCAATCTCCCAGGATGCTAAAAAAAATACCAAAAGTTTATATATTTGCATGGCTTAAATTGAAAGATTTTGTTGTTTGCTTTTCCATATCTGTAGATGAGGGGAAAAATGAGACAATTTTAAAGCAAGGGATTTTGCTTGAGTGTCAGGCATGGATTCCAGGGTTTTCAAAGATCATAGGCATATTTCTACCTTCATAATCTATTACTAACAATTTTGGACTTGTAACCTTTATTTTAGTCAAGATGACATTGCAACAAACTTCTTAGCATCCTTAAAGTAAAACAAAACATAACTTTAAATATTATAAAATATTTATCTGAGACTTTCAGCATCACTGGAGAAATAAACGGTGGTTTCACTGAACCTGTAAAATATTTCTCTGCTCTAGAATTTCTATCTTAGAGCCCATAACTATATATGACAAATACCAACATATGGCTTAGAGGTTTGAGTTTTGATGTTATTTTCTAAACTTATTGGGTAAAATTAAGATTCCACAGCACGAGAAATAAATATTTGAGAAAAACACAATTTCTTCATTAGGTTTTTCTTTCCTTATAGTGCAGTACTCCAGAGGTAAAATACACCTAAATAGGTAATTACCAACATGTATAATTACCACATGTGGAATTTCCAATATTCCTTTAAAGTGTACTAAAAATGGCAATTTTTCTGTTTTTGGTTTTTACTGCAGAGAAGGTATCTCTTGTTTCTACACTGTCAGGTAAAAACTGAATCAAGACAGCCTTTAAGAAGCATGTACAGTAATTCTTCAATTAACCATTTCTGCAATCATGTCACTGAGTCAGTCATTTGCTATTTAACTTCCAGCATTTCTGATGATAGCAAAGAAGGTAGAGAAAAAGACAAAGTATGGGAAATCCAAAGTGCAGCATTTAACAAGATTATTTTGATTCATTCTGAAGTATTTGAGAACAGATCAATATCTGTTGGAGAACTTGCTTTAAGTATTTATGAAATCATTATTAAAATTCTTTCTAACAGTAACATTATAGAGGCAGACATTGGACAGCAAATGGTTTCCATAAAAACAAAATACATTTATTGTCCAGGAATAACTTCTGTCAACTTTGATGATTTTTTTCAGGATTTCTTAACAGGAGTGATTCAAGTACTGTCTGAAGAAATAGGAATAAATCATCACTTTAAAAGCAATGGAAGAAACAAATCATGTTCCCTGCTTGGAAGCAGTAGTGGGTCCATTTGCAATAAAACCAATACCATGGACCAACATACATGCTCCAGAGGTTGGAAATCATCAACTTACCAAACTGGTCAAGTGGTTCAAAAAGAGAAGTTAAATTATATGACATCTCAGTTAGACAGCCTTATTGGCAGCCTAAAAACTCATCAATCCAAAGAAGTAGTCAATAAAGTATTTAATATTATTATAGATTTATTTTTACCAGATGAATTCCCAGGTGGAGCTGTGGACTCTGGTAAAATAGCAAGACGATGTTTCTCTTCCTCAAACAATCAACAAAGTAATACTCTTTAGAAATAACCAAGGGCTCTCCCCCAAATCAGTCTTTCTTCTCAATGTTGTATGTGAGAAACTCATTAGGACACTTCTGGAAAAATGCACAGGCACTGTCCTTCTTGACGATGGTCTTTCTAATGAAATATCAGCAGAAGTACATCATCTTTTAAAAACTCTTCAAAGGGTTGAAGATGGAGAGCTTGGTAATTGTGAGAGATCAGTGAACTGCAAAAATCTTCAAGGAGATTGCATGTCAAATCTTTTGGAAAACGTGATAGAAATGGATCAAGATTTATTGTCATCAGTTTGTATACTTACTATTATTTCTCACAGCTTGGTGAAATCGTTGATGGATAAATTATCTCAGAGTTTACAAGAAGCTCCTGAAAATCCATTGTTTGAAAACAAATACGAGAACCATAGAACAAGAGAAATACAATCTAGTGTTCCAAAGGCAAAAGGGCCAAAACTCACGGAGTTAGGACAGGGTAAGAGCTCTTCAGAATTGGCAAGTTATGGCAGCACTTCTTTGACAGAATCCCGGAATAATCCCCATGTGGCTAGCTCCCAAATACAGTCACCATTTGGTGAGCAGTGTACAGTAAAATCCTCTTCTTGGTCACCTCTTAACAGACAGAAAACAAAGGAATTGGATACAGTAGTCATTCGTAACATGTATCAAAGAGATATGAACACAGGTGTTTATTCAGCCACATTTTTGGAGGAAATAATATCAGAGTTGTTTTTTCATTTCTCTACATCCCTGTGGGGAAAAAATGCAAATGGTATATTAGAGATTTTAGACTACCAACTCCCATCTTCCCTCAAGGGAAACCTCAGAACTCATTCATGTTACCCTCTTGAAGCTGAAGTTATACTGCAGAAGCTTCAAAGCAATCTAAGAAATCTTACTTTCCAAACCAGGTCTTCAAAAAGCTGTAGGGCCATGTTACCACACTCCTTCTTAGAAAATGTCATTAGAAGACATTTACTTCAGCTCATTCCTCCATCTATTAAATCTTCCCCCTTTGGAAAAAACATATGGAATGAGTTCAGATTTTAATGAGATGTCCACCTGTATCATAAATAAGGTTATGTCGGCCATTTCAAAACATAAAATCTGGTTTACTAGCTATGAAAATCAATGCCTCTCTTCAGGAAAGAGCCTCCAAAAGATGGTGGACTCTGTGTATGGCAATATTTTACAGATGTCTGACTCTGTTTCAGTACAGGAAAGTATAGTCGGCCGAAGCCCAATTATGGTTGATCGCATAGCCAGTTTTATTATCCAAGAAATTATTGAATGGCATCTTCATCCATTTTTGCATGGAGAGGTTTTACCTAGTCCAGGGACTCCACTAGATGCTGTACCTAATATGGTTAAACAGGTTCTTGATGAAGTCCTAGAGTCATACAGGCCCCAGAAGCCACCATTTGTAGGTATTTGCCCTGATCTATTTGTAATGGAGATGGTTACCAAACTTTTGTCAAAGATTTTTAGCCCTAGGCCTAGCACTGAATTTGAGCTGGAAACCATGACACAAAAAATAGTAAACTCCGTGAACAAGTATTTTGAAACAGGTAAAATTCACAATTTATGTGATGACAAGAAGTCTTTGCCCTATATAGATACAGATATTGTAGATGAACTTGTCATCTCAGTTTATAGAAATGTGTTGAACCAGTATGGACTAGACCCTAACACTAATAAAGAGAGTGAAAATAGTGATATTTTTGTGAGAAATATTACTAATTTAATTGTAACAACTATTTCAAACTACCTTCTTCATCTGTTGTTTGCTGGTGATCTGTCAACTTCATCTTATTCCATCTTGATGGCTGAGAACATTGTTCAAGACGTCCTTAGTAACATAAGTCAATCTACCAGGTCAGACCAGAGCTTACTTCCATATAACACCTTACTGCCATATACATTCTTAGAAGATATGATCAGAGTACTATTATCAAGATTCTTTCCTTCATCTCCAAAAGATAAGTCAAAAGTGAATTTTAATGAAATTGCTTCCAACCTAATCAGTGATATTAGGATGAAGATTTCCCAACATGAAATTTGATTTTCAAAAGATGAAGAAGAAACCAAGTTTGTTTATTCAGAAGATGATGTTCAAAATCTTGTTGATTCAGTATTCAAAAATATTTTACAAAACTGAGTCTCAAGAATTGGTGAAGCAAAATATTAAAAGCAACAATGATGTTCTTATTGATAGAATAGCAGGTTTCATCATTAAATATGTTTGCGAACAACATCTTCAGCCATTTTTGAATGTCAATTCATCTTCCTCATCCTACACGCATCTTGATTATAAGAGACAGGAGTCATTTTATGCCAGTGTTTACTCCTCAACTTTTTTGGAGGATGTGGTATCTGGAGTTTTAACCAAAATATTCCACAGGGTGGTTGGTATTGTATGAATGACAGATTCAGAAGATGAACTGTTTGATAAAGCTGAAAAACTCATACATTTGATAACAGAGGAATTCTCAAAAGATCAAGTTAGTGTTATAGAAAATGCTGAGGAACAGTTGTGTTTGCCTCCAATGCAGAGAGATATAGTAAAAAATATTATTGATGTACTATATAGTAGAGTTTTAGAAGAATATGAAGTGGAAATCATGCCTCATAAAGATTTTCTGAATGATATAAGGACATTGGCTGCTCGGATAACTAAAATCATCCTGATTGAAATTTTTGATTTCCAAATTCATCCAGATCTTATAGCAAATCTGCCTTTTAAGTCCCATTCCAAACTCAGTGAAAATGTTTTGATACACAGAGTCCAATATAATATCAGTAAGTCAAGATTCTGAAGACAGGCTTCAACAATATATACTACTATGTTATCACAAAGTCATTTGGAAAAAATAGTCACTCAACTTGTATCTCAGATTAATCTGCTGACATCCACTGTAGAACATCCAGATACTTCCCGATCAGGCTTAAGACAGCCATAAAACTGATAAATGA